GACTTGCCACCCTGATCTCGTCACGATGTCCAGCCCAAGGAACCGAAAAACTCCATTGCTAACCAAGTCGCGTGTGGGTCGGGCCGGATTTCCCTTCGTCACCGACTGTGCACTTGAAAGATTATGTCAGCAGGCAAGCTCCAAACAGAAGTACCATCCATGCCGATTTTCCAGGGAGTAACTCCCGGGCGGGGCGGGGGGAATCTTCCGAGGAAATGATCATCAGGCTGGGCCCCCGTTTCCTTCGCGGGGGTCAATCCCGCCACGATCCTATCGAAGGTTAAAACCCACCGCAACTCCATGTTTGTCATTTATGACCCGCTTTTCTTTATAGCCACCACGATCCCAGTGGCTGGGATGATCTTGAGTTGAGTTCGAATTACTTTTCAGGTAGCGCCAGCAGCAGTCGCGCGCCCCCAAAGGGGCAAAGGCTAGCGGAGCTTTCGGAATCCGCAGGAGGCCTCCTGGTTCTCCCGCCATCCATTGGATGCCTCCCCCTGGAGCCCTTCCTCTTCCTCTGCTTTGGCTGGATGGAAGAGCGCAATGAACATGGGGGAGGGGGGGGAGGGTCTCCAACGAGCTCAGCAACCTGGTTTTGCGCGAGCCTAAGCCTAGGAAAAGCGCCCCATCGGGAGCGCCTTGAAAGGCGCAAACAACCTGGTCTGACTGGCGTCCCATCTGATGCCTTTAGGATCGCCTAGTCGAGCGTCACCACCGTTTTTTCGTGGAGAATCCGCATCACGCTCTGGCAGCAGAGCATGGATCTGAGGCTTCCCCCTCTTGGTTTGCCCTTCAAACGGTCGGGGTACCTGAGCGATTTGTCCTGATGCGTCTGGAACGCCCCGGCTTGGCCAGGGCTGGTGTTGGAAGAATCCAAGAGAAGTGGAAATCTTGCACGGGCGGGCCACGATCCCTTTCCGCCAAGAATCGCCCAGGAATCGGCCGATATCCCCACTAGACAGATCCGTCACCGTCCCTGGCCGAAAGGGTCCCCAGGGGCTTCCCAATGAGCTGGGTGCATGAGGAGGGCTTTTCTTGCGCTTTTGGGTCCTTCCTAACGGGATTCATGCGGCAAAGGAAGGAAGGTTTGGAGTCCGTTGCCTTCTTGAGGGCGTTACTGCCTCCCCTGAACAGGAGAAACATTTCCCTCCTCTGTTTCAGGGGAAACAAATGGTTACGCTGGAATCCCCACTTCCCCACCTTTTCTAAATAAATCCTGGGCCACACCCGAGTGCTTTGCAAGAAAATAAACTCATTTATTGTCAAAGCATCCAACATACCCAGATAAACTATAAAGTTTTAATCTCTTTTTCAAGAAAAAAAAGAAGTCGGGGGAGGGAGAGGGGGGGAAAAGGAACACGTAGCTATTCAGACTTCATTTCACTGGCACAAAATTACACTTTGTACTGTATTAAAAGAAGATCCCTATTTACAGAACTTATGACATTCTGCACCAAAGTCCCTAATCTTTCCATGTGGAACATGCACTTCCCCACCAGAAACATAAAATGAATTCAAGTCTTTCTGGATTTTATTACTATTATTTTTGCAGAGGAACAGGAAAAAGAAACTCATCAAGTAATGCAGAAAAGCTTTGCATCCATCTTCCTTATTTTTTTTAAATTTTGCTTTATATCTAAAATAAATTTTTACCCTTACATATAGTTATTACAGCTAAACCATAAGTGCTTAATAATTTAAGTAGAAACGTATGACAAATGCATCAATATGTTGCAATATATGACATTTTAAAAATGTACTTTTAAAAGTTATTTACTTTTTTGGAAAGTGAAAATGCGTGCATTTGAAACAAAAGGGGGGGCAAACCCACCCATCATCTCTCTCTATTATTATTATTATCATTATTATTATTATTATTTGCAAAGTAAACATATGCACAGGCATAAAAATTTCAACGGTGGTTTTGGGTGCTCTGCTTTTGTGGCCAATCCACAATGCCCAAGATACATTTAAAAGCTTTCAAACTCAGAGACAGAATGACTGCATTTGAAAATGGACATGAAGCCTGAGGCTTGTTTACTTTGAAGAAAGCCCACTTGAGCCCAATGGGACTGTCCCCAAAGTAAATATGTACAAGACTCCAGCTTTAAAATCTTGTGAGGTTCTTGTGAAAACATAAATGCAGATTGTGGATGTATTTATAGAGCAACCACAGACAAAAAGCAACTTCATGTTCTGCTGGTGCTTCAGCAACCTTACCAGTTGTTGAAATGGTTACTTATGGATTACTCAGAAGTAAGTGGTTTTAGATGTAACTCCTCTGACCTCCTTACATTTCATTTATAGGGGAAAATCTTCAAAGCTTGGTCCATAACCGTTACTTTTTCTTCCTATTAATTCCCTTTTCTCATTTACCATTGCCCCAATTTATTAAATGAGAATAGTAGCCTATTCACCTTAATTTGCATCAAAAGAGGAATATACTTATTTCCTTAGCTTTCTGTGCATATTCCTAATATAGCATTGGAAACCTCACCACAATCCCGCCCCCCCCCCCCCCC